CCCGCGGTGGCCCTCGGCAGCGGGGGGGAAGGCTGAGGAGATATTTCTTCCACCGGGCTGGGCGCTGAGGCAGGGCCCAAGGTGGCCGCTGTCACACAGTGCCCACCTGAGGGGCTTGGTGCCCCGTGCCAGTGGGAACTGGAATGGCGCACTGGGCTGCCGGGGCGTCCCCTCGTGGGGTCAGCCATGGCACTGGGCAGGCCTGAAGGGCTTACACCACAGCCCATATTAAAAAGCACCCTACTAACCCGCCCCCCTTAAGGAGCACAAGCCAAGGGCACACCTCAAGGCTGGGGCTTTACCAAGGAGTGGTTAAACCCTCCCGTTTCACCCTCTCTGAAGGGACAGCTTCTCCTGCTCCCCAGTCTGGAGAGCCTTGGTTTGTTTGTGAAAGCTGCCCCAGGGCCTGCCATCCTTGAGCAGGGCAGGGCTCCCTCTCCTTGGCACCCCACCGGGCAGCCAGCTGCCTCCCCACCGGGGAAGGTGGCCAAGACCTATACTTTCACCCCTCTCTCTTGTCATCTGGACTCTGTTTCTCTGCTGGGAAAAGCTGGGGTGAGCCTCCTGCTCTTCCCTCTGATTCCCAGAGGCAGAGCCCTCTCCTCCCCGGCCAGCCCCAGGGTGAAGGCAGCCGCCGGCAGGCAGGCAGGGACCCCAGGATGGGCTCAGCTGCAGGGACGTCCCCCCAGGAACGGCAGTGCCAGCTGCCACAAACCGGGCACATCTCACCCCCAGACATTTAGGAACTTGCATCTGCAGCCCTCCCCTAACCCCAAACCAGATGCATTTACTACTTCATTTTTCTGTCAGCAGTAACTTCTTAAAGCCAGCAGACCCAAATTTCCTCTCTTTTTGTCTGGTGGTTTTTTTGTTTGTTTGTTTTTCAGGTGCTAGGTGCTGCATGCGCAAACCTGTCAGGATTCGAACCACTATTTTCTTTTTGCTTTCCAGCTTTGGGTCATCAGGGACTGAAGCTGGTTTGCTTCAGCTCCAGTCCATGGCAGTGATGGTCCAGTCAGTGGCTCGATGTCTCTCCAGCCTTGCTGGGATGTGTAAACACACCCTTGGGCCACTGGAGTTTCTCCTGGACAGGCACATGTGCACCCACCTGAAAGCATATGTCCATTAAGAGCATATGGCCTGGGAGCATCATGTCCTCCAAATCTATCATAGAATCATAGAATTGTTTAGGTTGGAAAAGCCCTTTAAGATCATCAAGTCCAACCGTTCCCCTAACCCTGCCATCCCACCACTAAACCCTGTCCCTAAGCACCTCGTCTGCCTGGCTTTTAAATACGCCCAGGGATGGGGACTCGACCCCTTCCCTGGGCAGCCCCTTCCAGTGCCTGACAACCCTTTCTGGGAAGAAATTTTTCCTAATGTCCAACCTAAACCTGCCCTGGTGCAACTTGAGGCCATTCCCCCTCGTCCTATCGCCCG